ACACAGGGAATTCCTTCCCCTTGCGATTTATTTTGGTGTTTGTATTCTTAACCTAATGTAACCCCAAGTTAAGCAAAATAGCAATTTCTGACTCCACGCACGGCTGCTTTGGCTTGTTCCGAAGTGCCTCTATTCTTTGATCTGCTGAATGCTCTTGTGTCCATTCAATTTAACAAAATGTAAGTACTAATAAAAATATTAAGTGCCCCATGTGGACAAGGCTCTATGCCAGGCCCTAGGGATACAAAAAGAAGACAATGTGAGCTGCAAATGAGCTTATATTCTGTTGGGAACATAAAATTTATACACTAATCCTTTTTTTAATTGTATCTGAAACATTTTCCAGAGGGAGGTAATGGCTGTCAGGGAAGCTGTTTTAGAGCAGGTAACACCTGAGCTTTGCTTTGAGGGAAACTAGAGAGCCTATGAGGCAGAGACCACATTCCTGCCATGAGTGAGATCAGGTCATAGAGCTTAGATTTAGCACTAGAGGGGACCTTGGAGCTCATTCAATCTAAACCCCACAACCCCATTTTATAAAAAAGAAAACTAAGGCCCACATAGGAAAGGTAATCTGCCTTATACCACAGAGGTCATGGGTTAGTCCCATAACCAGAGTTGCTTAGTGATGTCACTTTCATGACTACTAAAAATTTAAGTAGAATCAGTTTGTCACTACTAAAGAATGGCTGCCATCTTGATTCATGGGGTCATAAACTTATAGCCCAAAAAGAGCATAAAGACTGAGTCCAATGCTCTCATTTTACAGATGAGAAAACTAAGGCACTTACAGGTTAACTTGGGACTCTAAGATCATAAGGGTGGAACTGGAAGGAGGCCTTAGAGGTCAAGCCACTGAAGTTCTGCTACAAGCGGGCCTGCTGTGTAGCCTAGAAATACCAGATAAAGCACTTTCCGAATGGTCTAGTTAGTGGAGAGATCCCAATTTGGAGTCAGAAGACTTGGTTCTAAGCCTGCCTTTGTTTCTTGTTTCTTTGTTGGACCTTAGTTTGATTCTCTGTGTAGTGGTGGAGTTGGAAGAGATTTATTCTAAGTTCTCTTGTAGCTCTAAATCCAGGGATACGTAGGTGGTGCAGTGGATAGAGCACCAGCCCTGGAGTCAGGATGGACCCGAGTTCAAATTCAGCCTCAGACACTTTTCTGGCTGTGTGACCTTGGGCAAGTCGCTCAACCCCAATTTTCTCCAAAAAATTAAAATTACAAAAAAAAAAAAATCTCAGGAGCTTCCTCTGTCAATTAGCTCTAATTTATACTATCTGTGGTTTGGTTTTACATAGTTGTTTGCATGTTGTCACCCACATTGACTATGAGCTGCTTGAGGACAGGCACTCTTGTAGTCGTCATTATTTTAATTTTTTTGAGTGTTTCCCTAGTACTTAGCGCAGTGCCTGGTGAATACTAGGCACTTGATAAATGCTAATTGACTGAATAATAGACTGAACTACGGCTTCCAATTTTTTCCACGTATAGTGGGCATTGATCATGGACATGTACATAGCAGCATAAAGATTGGAAAGGATCCTCAAGACCTAGTCCAACTCCTTCATCTACAGAAAGAGAAACTGAGGTCCAGGGACATGAGGACACTTGCCCAAGATCATTTAAGCTTGCATAAAAGAAGTGAAATTTGAACCCAGGTCTTCTGACTCTTGTCTTCCAGAATACAACCCCAGTTGGTTTAAATAACATTGACAGTTTTTATTTTTCCCCTTTTCATTATTTGTTTTTATAACAGAAACCTACTACACAGCTTGAAGCAAAATGGTGAAATAGAAAAAGCACCATCAATCCATCAGAGGGTTCCAAATGAATTCATTTATGTGTGTGTCAGGGTGGCCATCCTTTGGTAGCCAATTATCATATATCAATTCTGAGGACAACTTGTGACCACCCACCCAAACAGAGACAGCTTGGAAATATAATTAGATTTTTTAATGGGCTTCTTTGTGTGTTGCTATTTCTCTTGAGGGTGCCTGTCCAAGCCTTCTTCTGCCTCCATAATACAAATGACTGACGTTTTTTATAGCATTTTAAGTTTTACAAAATACCTTACATGCTTTATTTTTCTCATTTGATCCTCAGCAGCCCAACACAGTCAGTACAACGTGTATAAATGAGGGCAGGGTTTCAGAGTCTTGGCTGTAGTCATACATCTCATGGGGATAAGGGAGAAATTTAAACTAAGATCGATCTCATTTCCTAGTCTGAACAATGAGCATTTATTATCAATTACTATGTACTCGGGAAGTGTCCTAAGTCCTAGGAATACCAATGTAAGCAAAAATAAGGAGGCCCTGATCTCAAGGAGCTTCCTTTCTGACAGGAGAAAACAACATAAAAAGAAGCTGGAAGTGGGGAGGTGAGTGGGGAGAAGTCACTCGAGTAGCTACATCTTGTCAAATTGTCAGAATCATATCTAGGTGAGGAATAAACTATGACTGACCTGGGTCTGTTCCCTGAAGGGAGGCCCCCAGAAAGGACTCGTCAATGTCAGAAGGGGGCTGCCGTGGTAGAGAGATGTTCCAGGCTGAGAAGACCCCAAGTGCTGAGGAAAGTTCTAGGGTTCAATGTCCATTCCATAGGACCGTACTACCTCTCATCTCAAAAACCTATATGATCAAAAGAATAAGTAATCATATGTGCATTTCGCATGGCTGGAAATCTCTCCATCTTACCTCTGCATGACTTTCACCACCCATGAACCTCCACTGTCCCTTACCTAATTCATAGTTTTGATTCTTCCAAGACAGAGTCATTCAACAAACAGTCACCATGTAGCTTATGACACAGGGTTGTTTGGGATCATTAGGAGTGTTGGAAAACTCTCCTAAGTAATCCACTCCAAGATCCTTCTCCTACCTAGCCCTAGACCCAGCTTACTGTCTAAAAAAAAAGTATCTGCCTTCTGTAAGTTTAAATAAATTACACACTGTGAGGATCAGATGTTAATGGTGAAAGATCACGGCTTAGTGTAAAGAAGGCTGGATATGTAGTTAGATTTGGATCTGAATTTGAATTGTGACCCCAAAGCTTACTACTCATGGGACTTCGGGAAGCGGGACAGATGGACAAAAATAGAGAGATAAAGAGACAGAAACAAAAGTTGAGACAGAGACAGAATTTATTCTGTTTATTCCAGTTTATTCAGTCTCATGTTTATCTGCCCAGATTCTACATATCTTGCACATAGTAGGCACTTATTAAGTGCTAGTTGGAGTGGGTTGTTGGATTAAGGTGGTATTTAAAAGGAAATTGGGTGTTGAAGCCCCAGTAACATCTACCTTGCACGAAAGTGTGAGTGGTTGGATTTTATTCTCTGGGATTTAGAGCCATTATGCATGGTGTGATCACCAGGAATTTGATTTGTGCAGTGGATCAAGGCCCAATGCCCAACTCTATTTTATCCTTCAAATCAAGCACCTCTGGCCTCAGAAGCTCGGGAGAAAAAGTTAGCCCCGGGGGTGAATTGACCAGGCTTCCTTCTCTGCTTTCAGTACATACTTGTAAAGTCCACTGAAAAATCAACCACTCATCCTGAGCGTTTCCCTAGGCTCCTGTGTTTAAGCCTGGAAGGGGCCTTAGAAGTCACCAAATCAAACCCCCTCCTTTTAAATAAAGAGAGGAATACTTGAGCACAGAAAAGCTAAGTGATTCACCCAAGATGACACAGGTAATAAAAAGTCAGACCCAGGATTTGAACTCAGGTCATTTGATTTCAAATCTAGTGCCCTTTCCTCTACAGCACAGTACCTCCTCCCCCAACCATCCCTCCACCTGGAAAATTGCTTTCTTTTTTAGCAGAAGAATTAGACAAATTATACTTTTGTTGGTGCCTCCATCAATATTAATTAGGTTTCATTTGTAAAAGAGGGGCAGCTAGGGAGTAGTGGGTGGAGAACTGCCCTCAGCATCCAGTAGACCTGAATTCAAGTCTTGCCTATGACACATACTAGCTCTGTGACCCTGGGCAAGTCACTTAAACTCAGTGCTTTAGGCAACTCTCTAGGACTCAGTTACAGAGAAGGTATCAACCTATATTAAGAGATGAAGTTTCCCCATCTGAACAGGTCCTATGCAAATGAAAGCACATGCTATAATCTTCATTTGTAAAATTATATGAAATAAAATAATTCATTCTGAAATACTTTTTAATAAAGACACATCGCAATGTGATCTAAATAGGGGCAAATTAATAGTTGATCATATTAAAGGAAGGAGTTTCTTAAAGTAAAAAAGTACTTTAAATTATAATTTTACTACTATCATTTCATTCAAAGATATTTTAAAAATGTTTTGATTCTACAAAATTTAACTTGGGAGAGAAATAATGCTCTTAAAGACCATTTCTTAGACATATGTTTAAAAAAAGTTAAAGACACCCATGCCCAATGCTATACATAAGAAACTGTGTTACCCATCCCTGAAAAACGTGTCAGACTGAAATTGCTGAGGTTGTTGCATGCCTTCTATTAACATTGCTCAACAGCTAAGATCTGATTAAGAAGCTATGGGATAGATGATATCTATATAAAGCATTTTACATATATTATCTCCTTTCGAACCTCATTACAAGCCTATGAAATTAGTATTACTGGTGTTATTATCACATTTCACAGATAAGGAGTCTTAGGCTGAGTGACTTTTCCATTGTCATAAAGCCAAAGAAGATTGGAGTTAGTGTATTTTTACTCTGGGATGTTTTTCCTCTTACTTATTGGAAATTATTCATAGTGTTTTAATACTACAGTGAGTAGAGTGATATATAGAGCTTTTATGCATGTTTCTTGAAAGCTGAATATAACATGTAACTACTTTTATTTATGTACATATTTAATGGTGATACTCAACTCTTCAACTCTGTTATTATTCTTGGTTCAGAATTTAACAAGAATGCAAAAGTAACTACCAACATATTTATTATAACCTAGGTTAATATCTTTGAAGGAAAGTAATCTTTTTCCTCTTTTTTTTCCTTTCAGGGCTCAACTCCCAGTTGTCTTACAGCATTACCTCAGGGGACAGCCTTGGTCAGTTTACTATCGACAAGAATGGTATTCTAAAAATCAGGCAGACTTTGGACCGTGAAAGTCAGTCCTTCTACAACCTGGTTATTCAGGTCCATGATATGCCCCTCCCTCCAGCCTCTAGCTATACCAGCACTGCTCAAGTGTCTATCATTCTATTGGATGTCAATGATAATGCCCCAACTTTTATTTCCCCCAAACTGACCTACGTTCCAGAAAACACCCCCACTGATACTGTCGTATTCAAAGCTCAAGCAACTGACCGAGACAGTGGCCCTAACAGCTATATTGAATACACTCTACTGAACCCTTTGGGAAACAAATTCAGTATTGGGACCATTGATGGAGAAGTGAGACTCACTGGGGAGCTAGACAGGGAAGAGGTGTCCAACTATACTCTCACTGTAGTAGCAACTGACAAAGGTCAACCACCTCTCTCTTCATCTACGGAAGTGGCAGTCATCATCCTTGATATCAATGACAACAATCCTGTTTTTGCACAGGCCCTTTATAAAGTGGAAATTAATGAAAACATTTTGACTGGGACTGACATAGTACAAGTCTATGCTGCTGATGGAGATGAAGGGACTAATGGACAGGTTCGCTATTCCCTCCTCAGTGGAAATGAAAACCAGGAGTTTAGAATTGACTCTGTGACAGGCATCCTCTCTGTAGCTAAGCCTTTGGATCGAGAGAAGAAACCGACGTACTCGTTAACTGTTCAGTCAGCAGATCGGGGCAGCAGCCCCAGGACGGACACCACCACAGTGGACATTATTCTCTTAGATATCAATGATTTTGTCCCTGTATTTGAGCTGTCACCATATTCCATCAATGTGCCCGAGAATCTAGGAATGCTGCCAAAGACAATTCTTCAGGTCAGTATGCTGAAATAAGGCAATTATGGTTATTTTTGTTTTAAGCCATTTTTTTCTCTCAAAAAAGTCTATTGTGCCCTGCATGGTTAGCAAAGGCTTTTTTAAAACCCAGTTACTGGGGAGGCAGCTGATGGTTCTCTTGAGCTTAGGAGTTCTGAACTAAAATGGACTAAGTCAATTGGGTGTCTAAGCTAAGTTTGACATTAATATGGTGAGCCCCTGAGAGTATGGGTTACCAGGTTGCCTAAGGATGGGGTGAACTGACTTGGTTAGAAAATGGGTCAAGTGAAATCTCCCACATCAAGTAGTACGGAGACTGAGCCATGAGTAGCTATACTTCCATCCTATGTAAGATAGAAAAAATCAATCTTTTACAAATGTCTATTTAATAATCTCATGTTATTTTCTCTTCCTCTCTCTCTCTCTCTCTATACATATATGTATACCCATCTATACCTATATGCACACATATATACATGTATGTATATATATATAATAATCCACATCCACATATTTCTCTAACTGTATGTTTCTGAAAGTGACAGATAACTTTAAATCAAAAGAACAGATTCAATTTAAACTAAACAAATCCAATTTAACAGATATAATAAGCGCTTACACTGTACAATAAACCATGCTAGGCACTTTGTATACAGAGCCAAAAAGGAAATAATTCCTGCCTTCAAGGGATGTATATTCTACTAGAAAATGCCTAGTGATTTTGTTTGTAGGTTTAAATAAGGCATGTGCTGGAACCAGCTCTAACCGCTGATTGTTCAATTTTCAGCATGAGCATTTACAATTCAGAAATTGGCAACTGGTACAAATCAGGACTTGATTTATTGTATTGTTGATTGTATAGATTTTTTAAAAAATAATAATTTAGACTAAACTTAAAAGGATGTGTAAGTACTTTTTTTTCCCAGAGAGTTTTGTTGTTAGGGGAACATCAGGGGGTACCTGGATGTGAGTAAGGTAGTACACCTTGTTCCATGGAGTTTCAACCAGGCAGGGAAACAGAGGCCAAAGTTTCTGCCCTCTCTAAAGGAAGGTATTGGGAGGAGTTTGATACTCTGCCCTCCAGCCCTTCAAGTCAGAGGGGAGAGGAGGTTGAAGGAGGCAGTGTCAATCAAGGCTTGAATTAGCAGCACTTTGGTGAGTTTAGAAGAGATGAGGCGTCCTGAGAGAGACAGTTTGTTCTGTGGAGTTGAAACCAGCAGCAGATGCAAAGTGGAATATTGCTCCATATACATAGTTTGAGCTCAGTCGAAAGGCAGAAGGAGGCTCCTAGAATGAAGTCATCCCCAGACTGGTAACTGTAGACAAACAAACACACACAAACAAACAAAAACCAAACAAAAGCGTTTTATTTACATCCATTATCTCATTTGATCTTAGCAACTCCTTTGGTTACAATATTTGTTTGTTTGTTTGTTTTTTCATTCAGGATAGATTCCTTCATTATCTATTATAACATTCTTTCCTTTCTACTTCCTTTCCTGGACCTCTCCTCCTCCTTTCACTATTAGCTGTCTTACCTGTTGCTCCTTCTTGTAGGTTGTAGCTAGAGATGATGACCAAGGCTCCAACAGCAAACTGACATACATGCTTATTGGTGGGAATGAAGATAATGCCTTCATTCTCTCAGCCAGCGGGGAACTCAAAGTCATACAGAGCCTGGATAGAGAAACGAAGGAGAAATGTGTCTTGTTGATTACAGCGACTGATTCAGGTGAGTGGATGAGGCTAGAATGCATTTCCAGACTTACCTGCCTAATTCCAAGAACTCATTCGTATGCAATAGACATACAGAAAATCTATTCCTTTTACAATTTTTACTACATCCCTGATGATCAAAATGAATTAGTCTTAATTATAGCAAATGCAGCTAATTGCTTTTTTTTCCTTTTGATCAAAATCTATTTAGGGAAAATAATATTCTGTCCAGAAACTATTTGGATGTTCTAGACTTTGGTTGATGATACCAAAGGACCCATATTCAAATCCAGCTCAGCTGGCTACTACCTTGGCCAAAACATTTAACCTCTCCAGGCCTTAGTTTCTTTATCTATAAATAAGGCAGTTGGAAAAAATGACTTGGAAGTTCTTTCCTGATTTGTAGCTGTGATCACTAAAGGGCAGAAGTGAGTTTTTGTCATAATGAGTCCTTCGTTGACTTTCAGTCTGAACTGAAATTTTTCCCATGATGTAACACGCAGCTGAAGCCCAAAGATCTGGGTTTGAATCCTATTTCCAACATTATTATATGGGTGACTTAATTCCTGGACAAGCAACACCTGTAAATCAATCTCTCTCTCTCTCTCTGTGTCTCTGTCTCTGTTTCTCTCTCTGTAAAACTGGTATAATGATACTTAATAGTACAAGGCTTATGGGATTTTTTTGTTTTGTTTTATGCATTTTGATACAGTATATAGATTCAAGTTATTAACATAGTCAGCCCAAACCAAATTAAAGAATAATTGGGAGATATTTAACAAAATAAATAAAAGTACAATAAAATATAGATAATGTTACCATGTGGTCCTCTAAGTCAATATGTGGTCTTCAGGGACACTTATGCATGGTTTTGTGGCTCCCATTTCTATTTGGGTTTGACAAGACTGACTTTGCCTGCTTGCATCTCAGTTTTCTCACCCGTAAAATGGGGATAATAATAACATCTGTCTTTGAAGGTTTGTTATCAAACTGTCGAATGTCAAATGAAGCACACGTAAAGTGCTTGCAAACCTTAACTGTGAGCTTGTACTGGGAGGGGCCCATAGGCATCGCCCGACTGCCACAGGCATTCATTGAAAACACACACACACACACACACACACACACACACACACACACACTCACATGAAGTATCAGGTCTTGTTATTACATGGAGAGTTCTCCTGTAGCTCTTTCAGCTAAATTATTCTGAGAGTTCCTCAGATAATTTTCTGCTATATTAAAAGTTTTTTATCTTTTTTTTCCATGTAGTAACACAAACTAATTTCCCTTTCAACCTGGTTAAATTTGAAATGTTAATATTGGGATACCTAAAATGACATTCCAGAAGCTTATACATTTTTACAAGTCTTGAGGAGATGGTGCAGTCGGCACTTGGCTCTGTAAACATTCTGGGCCTGAGGGAAAAAGTGGCTGTCCTCTTGCCAGGGCTGGTGTGCTGTGTTCCCTGTGGGCAGTGGTACTTGGAGGATGGGGATATGCTTTAACTGCACTTGTTGGTGTGATTCAGCATTTCCATTTTTAAAGTTATTTCAGAGACCGCAAGAATTGACGGTGAATATTCCACCAGCAAGCAGCCAGCACTGCTCTTTTCTCCCGAAGAAGCATGTGCCAAGTCCAGGAGAACTGGCTTATGGCCTTGTTTCTGAATATCACTCAGGGTTCCATGCTCTTCATATGTGGCTATTATTTCCCCTGCAGAGGCGGATTGGGAAGCCTGACCCTTTCAGGCCCAGGTGCTAGGATATAGTTATAGTCACCCATAGAGGAAACTAGATCGAAAGTTAGAGCTGGGAGGGACCTGAGAACACCATCTTGTCCATTCTATTCATATTATCAATGGGAACTGAAGACCCAGAGAGGTTGTGATCTGCCCAAGGTCACACAACACACAGCCAGTAAACATCAGATACAAGATCTAATCTCAGGTTCTTTGACTCCAGAGCCAGTGTTTTCCTTCCTTCCTTCCTTCCTTCCTTCCTTTGTTCCTTCGTTCCTTCGTTCCTTCCTTCCTTCCTTCCTTCCTTCCTTCCTTCCTTCCTTCGTTCCTTCCTTCCTTCGTTCCTTCTTTCCTTCCTTCATTCCTTCCTTCCTTCCTTCCTTCTTTCCTTCCTCCCTCCCTCCTTCTTCCTTCCCTCCTTCCTTCCTTCTTCCCTTCATCCTTCCTTCTTTCCTTCCTTCCTTCCTTCCTTCCTTCCTTCTTTCCTTCTTTCCTTCCTTCCTTCCTTCCTTCCTTCCTTCCTTCCTTCCTTCCTTCCTTTGTTCCTTCGTTCCTTCGTTCCTTCCTTCCTTCCTTCCTTCCTTCCTTCCTTCCTTCCTTCGTTCCTTCTTTCCTTCCTTCGTTCCTTCCTTCCTTCCTTCCTTCCTTCCTTCCTTCCTTCCTTCTTTCCTTCCTTCCTTAACAACAACAACAAAACAATTTAAATGAGCATTTCCATGTATGAGTCACAATTGACCAGAACCTCCCCTACATAGAACAGAACAGTAAAAGAAGATTTTACACGAAATAATATAGTCGACATGTAACTTTCAAAGCTATCATTCTTGTCTGTGACTATTTCTAACTTTTGTGTTCTTCTTTGCATAAAAAAGACTTTTCTTTCTGTTATTTTCCTTTTCCTACATGCAATCCTATCTCTAGTGTACTCTAAGAAAAGAACATTGGGGAGAGGGGAAGGAAAAAATTCCTTGAAAACAAACAAGCTTAGTAAAATAAAACAAATTCCCACATTAGTCATATCTGGGGAGGGGGTAAGAAAAAAAAAAGAAATACCCTGCATCCTTTCTGCATGCAAAGATGAGATAGTGAGAAACATAGCAGCCACTTGCTTTGCAGATCACATTCCAAGCTATGGTTTGTCATCTGTTACCAATTCAATTCAATTCATTACAATCCACCAAACATTTACTAAGAGCAGACATTTCTATAGTACTTTAAATTATGTAAAACATTGTAATGTGTTAATTAACCCATTTGAGCTTCACAATACCCTCGGGGAATAGAGATGGCTACTGCTATATTGTTAGCCCCATTTCAGCGGTGAGCAAAGTGAGGCTTCATAGAATGCTTTGCTACTAATTTGCATGGTCACATAGGAAGGATTAAGGTAGGATCTGAATTCAGGTCATCCTGATGCCAAGTCCAGCAACTTGTACACTATATTATTCTGCCTCTCATCAAAACAGCTCCTGTGGGCAAGGCAGTCATCACAGCATTGTAGATGGGACACTTAGCTTTCTTGCATACTGTATGAATACTTTTTATCCTCCTAATGAAGTACTGTTTTGACATTCTGTTGAATAATCTTTCCCTGATTTAGGAAGACCTAACTTACAAAGCTCTCCATGTCCCTGCCCTAGGAAGTATGTTGAGAAATCTAGGCAGTGCTTATAAAGTCTGAAATTTCAGAAATTTAGGAAGCACCTTCACAGTGTCTCATGGCAGTCCCCTGGTCTCCACTTACCCAGCCACCACCCTAGTTCAGTCCCGCATCCCCCTTCAATTGGATGATAGCAATAGCTTCCTGATTGGGCATCCTGACTTGTCTCTACCCCTCTCTAATATTTTCTTCACTTGGCTGCCAAACTAATTTTCCTAAAACTTAGGTCTGACCATATCAGCCCCCCCTACTCAATAAACTTTAATTACCGGCAAACTCCCATTACCTGCAGGATCAAATATAAAATTCTTTGATTGATATTGAAACTCATCATAATCTGTCACCTTTCTGCCTTTCTAGTCTTCATACATTTTTCTTTCCTCCATACACTCTCTGATCTATTCATACCAGTCTAGTTACTGTTTTTGAAACACTGAACTCGATTTCCCATCTTTGTATTTTTGCATTGGCTATCCCCCATGCTTAGAGGGCTTTGCTTCCTCTTAGAATCTCTGGCTTCCTTCCATGTGCCATCTTCTGCAGAAGGCCTTTTCCATCTGCCTCAGCTGTTAGAGCCTTCCCCTCTCTATCTACGTATCTATTTATCTGTGTGTTGTTGTCCCCATTAAATTAGGAGCTCCGTGAGGGAAATGATTGTTTTTACTTTCCTTTGCATCTCTAGCATTTAGCATGGTTCCTAGCAGATGAGTACTAAATAAATGTTGATTTGTTGGTTGATTGATTAATTGGAAAGCATAGATAGCCAAGGCGGATAAATTCTTACATAAGCCTAAGCTGCAGATATCACAGGCTAAAAACTATGGTTGTAGTGGGTGGGACTGGAAAATATGGGTACAGATACAAGAGGTAGTTTGGGATTGGAATGGATAGGACACGGCAGATGATTGCAGCTGGGAGATGAGGAAAAGCAAAGAGTCTAGATGACAAAGAAATGAGATGAATGATAGTGCCCGGCAATAATAGTGAAGTCAAGCATAAAAGTGATCAGTCATATCATGAGATGTCTGTAAACATATTCAACTCAACATGTCCAAAACAAAACTCATCATCTTTTCCCCAAGCCCTCCCTTCTTCCTATCAGTTTAGAGGCCATTATCACCCTCCTAGCCACCTATATTCACAACCCAGGTGTCATCCTCAATACCTCACGTTCTCTACCTCCCCATATGCAATCCCCATTTGCCAAGTCCTATTGGTATGACCACATGACATCTTTCCTACACACCCCTTCTCTCCTCTGACATCACCACCACCCTGCTGGATCATCTACCTGCCTGAAGTTTATCCTCATTCAGTCCTTCTTCCTCTTAGCTATCACATTTCCTGGAATAAAGGTCTATACATGCCATTCCCCCACTCAATAAACTCCAGTGGTTCCAGATGAAACATAAAAACCTATAAGTGTGAAATGCTGGACTTGAAGTCAGGAAGATAATTCCAAATCCTCCTTTAATGCTTATTAGCTGTGTGGCTGTGGACAAATTACTTAATCCCTATCTGCCTCAGTTTCCTCATCGATAAAATGGAGATAATAACAGCACCTACATCCCAGGGTTGTTGTGGGAATCACATGCTATAATATTTATAGAGAACT